AGAGGTACAACCTTGTTCGATAGAAGTTCTGCTGTACGAAAGCCCTATAACCATGTAAAAACGGCCTTAACAAAACGCATGATAAGATACCGAAACGGACATACACTGGAGCACGATAAAAGATCGCACTTCATAAAAAAAAACATAGGTCAAAGCAAACCTGTGAGTAAAGCATAACTTGGGCAATCAGTTGGCGATCTGGCTGAGTCATGGCCAAGGAACGGAAAAGTTTCTTCAGATTGTCAGGCAAATTCGAACGACCAGCATAACCAGGATTCATCGTAATAAATATTGCCATATCAGGGTTGACAGTAACCTAGTATACGAAAAAGCCTTGACTTTAGAAATGTCAAATGCAGCGCCTTAGAAACGATGAGCAAATTGACCTTAGTAATTGAAAGGAACGAGGCAAGCTTACATTTTTCCCAAGAAGCTCCACGGTAACGTCTTTGCCACTCGAATGATCTCTCAGTGCCTCTTGAATACCCTGAATTTGCTGGGAGACTGCGGACAGCATTCTCTCTTCCAACCGATTAAACTCATCAAAGCAGCCCCATGCACCAACTTGGCAAAGGCCAACGAAAATTCGTCCCATTGCATGGAAATCGAAAGTCTCATCACAATTGAAGACGAGGACGAAGCGGCCCAATTGCATGCCGAGAGCCTTCACAGACTCAGTTTTTCCTGTACCCGCAGGACCAAAAGGTGATCCACCGAGGCGCGCCTCGAGGGCCTGCGTCATTGTCAGATAACAACGATCTGTTAGTGGAGTTTGCACGAGACGATCCATCACACCGAGGTATTCGAAGCCGTAGGCAAACTTAGCGTTCGCCATGTGAATAGACACTTGGTCCAGTGGATCGGATTGCTTGGGATTGAAATAGAAACGCATCTGAGAGAGCCACTGGAAGGATTGTGGAGAGTTAACGCCTGTTTTAATGAGCGCTCGGAGTACGTCACGTTGGTGCACATGCTCCATTATGAGGTGTTCGAGCTTGCGCCGGCGAACTGGCGGCTGTTCACCAAGCACAGCGTCGGCGAGTAATGTAAGCATTGACTCAACGGAGCGAAGACAATCCGTGAGGGAATCAGATGATTTGGAATTGCTTAGTGCGGTGTCTACGGATTCCGACCAG